TTGGCCCAGTGAGCCAGCTTCGCCGTTCATTATAACCATGAATACTCTACTTCGCCTCCTGCTCTCAACACCTTTTTTGTCAATATCTAGTCAATCACAAAGTTAAACTTTGTTAATGTATTCGTTAAGCATAAGAGAAACAGGGGTGGATATTAACTGTCTTTGAGCCGTGCAAAGATCTTTAAAATGTCATGGAATGGTGCAGCAAATAATCAAGAAATTAATGGAATTTTAGCCTTTATATCTAGACAATTGGAGTACAAGGATGCAGAAGTTACCCTACAGTTATATAAAACACTGGTTATTCCCCACTTGATAAGATGTGAGCAGATCTGGGTAAAATACCTTGGGGAGGATCTATTGGCCTTGGAGCGAGTACAATGTTGGTTTATAAGAATGATACCTGGACGTAAGGAGTTAAGAGGAGAGATTATACAAATTAGGCTTCTTTTCTCAAGAACTTGGAAGGCTAAGAGGTGATCTCATCGAATTCTTGAAGATATTAACAGGAAAAGGCAGGATAGATAAAGATAAACTATTTCCACTGGTTGGTGTTTCTCCAACTACGGGTCACAGTGTGAGAATTAGGACCAGACCGCTCAAGAGAAATGTTGGGAATAGTTTCCATACACCAAGTGCGGTAGATGCTTGGAGCTGTATTCCGCAAATGGCAGCGAATGTTGGATCAGTTGTTAATTTTAAATCTGAGATAGATAAATTTGTGTTAAGCAAAAGTATTAAGGGATTTGGCCACAGTTCAGCCAGGATCTCACTGAATGGTGGAACAAGTTTGAGTGGCTGAACAGCCTACTCCTGTTCCTGTGTTCAAATAAAGCAATGGAAAACTTGTTATATATTCTCTACATTAAACTGTACTTCTTTCTATGCAAGCATAATTTTTATTTTTATATTTTTAAATTGCTCATGAAATGCCGGTAGCTGAATCAAAAGTCCAAAGTAATCTGTAAATCATCAAAAAACATACCAGTCTCAACGTATAATAAAAGATACTTCAAGATGGAAATCTCCATGTCTAATAAAAGATACATTAAAGTGGAAATCCCCATGTACAATAAAAGATACTTTAAAGGAGAAATCTCCATATATAATAAAAGATACGTTAAGGTAGAAATCTCTATGTATAATAAAAGATCCTTTAATTCTCGAAGATTTTATAAACTAAGATTTCCTAATATATCAACAAAGTAAAACGATAGTTAACACTGTGCCAATAGATTTTTGTCTGGTGGCAGGAATAAGTTATTTTTCGTCTGGAAGAGTCCTAGTGAACAACTCCTCTAAGGCATCCTGGAACTGTATTCATCAATTTGCAAGATGAAATCAAGGAACGCTCTCCTGTGTGAACTTAATTGAGTATTTTGTCTATGACAGCCTACCTTTTTTGAAAAAGAGACAAGGAACTAAGCGTCTCCAGGTACTGTATTTTGGTGACCTACAGAGAAACCTCTTTTGGAAGGATAGGTAGCCAAGTGAACTCTTCTGTTTTGTAGGTTTTAATGTTAAATTAAACTCACTGTGTTGATCAAGGCAGAATGTTGCTCTAGAACAGGTTAATTATATGTGCAGCACAACTGTTTGACTAAATTAATCAGTAATTTTTATTCTATTGCATAAACATCATGGCTTTGAGCCAACTCTAGACACTGCAGTGTAGAAAGTTGAGGGACCTGATGTTTATAAAATCATGAGGCACGTAGATAAGGTGGATAGTGGAGGTCTTTTCCCTGGATGGGGGAGTTCAAAACTAGAGGGTATAATTTTAAGGTGAGAGAAGAATGATTTAAAAGGGACCTGAGGGGCAACTTTTTCACACAGAGGGTGGTTCATCTGTGGATTGAAGTGCCAGAGGAAGAGGTAGATGCAGGTACAGCTACAACATTTAAAAAACATTTGGACAGGTACATGAATAGGAAAGGTTTAGAAGGATATGGGCCAAATGTAGGTAAATAGGCCTAATTTAGATTGGGAAATTTGGTCGACATGGAAGAGTTGGACAAAGGAGTCTGTTTCTTTGCTGTATGGCTCAATGACCATGACATAAAAACAGGGAGTAAGGGGCCCTCTTGTGGCACATCGGTACTGTCCCTACCAAGAGACCTAGGTTCAACAGGTTCAAGTCACACCTGCTCTAAAGGTGTGTAATAATATCTCTGAACAAGTTGATTAGGAAAAATAGTAAATTGAAATAAATAAAAGCAGGGAGCACCTGTAATATTGAGTACAGGCTGACAGATATAAGGCTGGGCAAGCTAATCAACTCTCTCCACAAAGAAAAACGTCTTGCTTTATCACTCAGAAACTGGTTTTGGTTATGTTAACATTTTGATTCCGTGAGAGACCAAAATTCTGCCTGCACAAACTTAAGTAGATTCAATATGTCTTTTCCATAGCCCTCTGGGGGAGAGAATTACAACAATTCACAGCTCTTTAAGAGAAGAAATTTTCCCTCAGCTCAGTCCTAAATGCTCATTTCCTTTACCTGAAATCATTACTTCTTTTCTAGATTCCTAGACAGGGGAAACAACCCCTGAGTGCGTACGTTGTCAAGACTCTTCCTGAACCTGAGTGTTTCAGAAATAGTCTGATTTTTTTCTAAACTGTGAAGAATATAGATCCAATTTACTCAGCCTTTTATCATAGGACATCCCTCTGAACCAAAGGCCCAATCTGGTGAACCTTCCCTGTACTGCCTCCAATGCAAGTAAACACATCCTTAAATACAGAGAATAAATTTGCACACATATTCCAGGAATGGTCTACTCATCAGGGGTTCCAGCAGTGAGGAGGTATATGCTTTATTATTGCTTCTCATCAGGTGGGATCACAGACCTCAGATTGGAGCAATAGGAGCCCCCACCAACCTGACAAGCAAGTCACCTTGGCTTCTCATTTGGGAAACTTTCTCATTCACTGGTCCTTAATGACCTTAACTGGTGGCATGTACAGAAGGCCCTTCTCACACAGAAATTAATTGGTGAGGTAGTGTGAGGGAACAGCCAACCCCTTCTCACCACCTCTTTCACCATCTCCCCAGCAAGGGAAAGTTTAAACCTTTAGTCTTATTTTGTAATACTCACTTTGCTTTCTTATACAGTAAACATTTTTGTTTAAAACACAAAATCTTGTGCCTTAATTTGTTTCAGTTTATAACAGAGTTATAAGTTAATGGTTTTTCCCCTTGAGATCATAAACCAACTACTGCATATTGGTTACCATGGATCACACTGCCACCCACCAGCTCCCACAAGCTGAAGCTGCAATACATTACCTGTCATACCATATTTATTATTTTAACTGATTTTGTTACCTGTAGCGATATTTTGTAACTATGTTTAACCGGTTATTCTACAAATTTAATGTAATACCCATATCCTCCAGTACTGGTTTAAACATTCACAGGATGAGGGTGTTGCTGGCTGGGACAGCATTTATTGCCCATCCGTAATTGCCCAGAGGATATAGGACACATAGGACAAACCAGGTAAAGATGGCAGTTTCCCTCCCTAAAGGACATGAGTAAACCAGATCGGTTTTTTTCCTGACAATTAACTCATGGTCTTGAAATTCTTAATTCCAGGTGTCTATTGAATTCAATTTCCACCACCTGCCATGGTAGGTTTTGAACTTGGATCCTTGGGACATCGACTGAGCCTCTGGATTAACCGCCCAGCACTAATGCCATTAGGCCATCGCTTCCCCTCTGCTGCAATTGCAACTGTTTAAGAGATAACCTATCGAAATTCATGAACGAATAATTTCGGTGCTCACTAACTAATGCCTATGAACACCTATCAGTTACTGGAGACTGAAGAAAAGGTATAAAAACCAGCATCTCCTTCCACTAATGTTAGCTGCACAAAATTTTCAAGTCACTATTTGTTCCTCATCACACATCAGCCTTGTTGTCTTCACTCCACTCAAGTTCCTTGATTCCATGTTTCTATATACTTTGTTTTCATTCCATGATGATAATTTGGATTATCAAAATTCTACCTGATGCAGCCAGGCTAGAAAATATTTTCTGCCAAGAATAATCACAGAAAGGTGTACCTTAGTGGTCTACAGTGTTCTTAGTTTTAAAAAAACTGCCTGATATTTCATTGTTTTAACAAACTTCTTCAATTTTATCATTAGTTTGTCCATAATTTTTTCCAAATTTTTTAATTAAAGAGTTATGTGAGCATGAAGGCCATTTGGATAGAGGGTGCAGGGGAACCAATTAGCTATTGTTACACATTTACCAAGTGTGTGCAGTTGAGCAGCATTTTATGAAGCTAAGATTAAACGAAGAAGCCCAACTAAAATAAATGGGAGTGTTAGGCCACTCCGCAAAAATTCTGCAATTGTGGACGATCCAAGGCACATCTACGGTTTTGAGATATACAGATTTGTGGAATTATCCAAAGAGCAAATGTTATGATCAGTATTTCCATATCAGTCAATATAATTACTCAGTGTAATGTTGTGCAACTTAATTTCAAATATAGATTCCTTTAAAAAAGCATCCATATAAACTTGCGTCATAAACATGATTAAAATGCAGACCAAGAGTCTAAGTCCTATATGAAATATCTTTAGATAGATTCAAATCAACATGGGTCCTGTTGATTTCATTCAGAAAGATCATACAATTGCAAGCGTTAAAGCAGAAAACTTCAAGTCGGAAAAATGTGACATGACTGAGAAAACATAATAAACTCTCATTGTTGGAAAAAGTATCTTAGAAATTTAAACACAAGTGGAAGTCATATCAGTTTTCTCATGTCTCTCTCTGTTCTACTAGGAGGAGCTTTACCATGAGAAAGACCTGGAGGAATTTGACACTGATTAAAATAGAAATGTTGCATTTGTCAACATCAACATTTAATTTATCAACAAACATACAGAATTTTACTAAGATTCAAGACATAAAATATTTAAATCAGAAGGTAATTTAAGTGCTCAAACAATTAGAGAATAAAAGTCACCAGCTAGTTTACCTCAATTTTTTCCCATACGTCATTGTTATTCTGTTTCTGCTGAATATCCTGCTGAAGCTGTCGAACCAGAGTTGACTTAGGAGAAGTCCCATCCAAGGCTTTCTTTGGCATCTGTGTTAACCAAGGATGTGAGAATTGGGTTGTAGTGTAGTGTTTAGTAGTTATGTCTGCTATTGATGACTCATCATCTGACAGGATGTTGCTGAGTGGACCTGACTCAATGCTGTCATCTAAGGAGGAAGCAACATCACTTGAGGAAAATGGGGATATAGTTCCAGTTTTAGGGTGGCATTCCCTGTTTTCATTGTGAATTGATGGAATTATCTCATTCACAGAATTTGCTTCTGACAGCTCCCAATCTTCAATGTTTTCAAGTGTTTCGCCTGTAGATTGATGTGACAATAGCTTTGTCAAATTCTCTAGCTTCAAAGTTAACCCTTCAGTTTCCTTCAGGTGAGATGGAAGAGCCAAATACTCATTCGAACCAAACCAAATGTCAGCTTTATCATTTTCAGTAGTTTTATTTTGGCTTGAACTATTTTGTGTCCTTGGTTGCTGTTGTAGCAAAGATAGAGTGGGGATAAAGCCAGGAGAGTCTATCCTGGTCTCATTATGTGGCACATGTAAAGGCAATGGTGCAGGCGTTGATTCAGAGGAGCTCTGACTAATAGGTGGCTGCTTCTTATTCTCACTACAAAAGTCCTCATCTTGATGCCATGAGGAAATATTTGTTGGTTCATAACTGTCCTCACACTTTACAGTAAATGAGTCAGAACTATTGTTATTCTCACCAGTCGGTATTTTTGTATGTGGAGGACAACACGGATAGAAATTCTTCAGTTTATCTGTGGTATCTAGTTGCTTCTGATATGGGGATGTCTGTCCGGGGAATAAGGAAACGCCACTTTGTGTATTTTGCTCAGAATTGATATTTTGCACTAAAGGTTCTCTATCATGTGATGTGGGGCTTCTTGTAGACTCTTTGTTAGATTGCCTAAGATCATGAAAGTCGCATGATTTCCAAATAGCTGGAGACTTTCTTTGATATTGTTCATTGGCTTTATTTCGATCTAACGTGGTCTTTTGTAAATTACATTGAGAAGAAGAACTTGAGAATCCATTATCTGTACCATTTGTTTTGTTTAACTCATCACAAGAGTAACTGACAGCAGCATTTGCAGAGCTTGGGTAGGATGAATCTAAGTCGAGCCAAAGTCTAGACCTGTCAGGATGATCAAAAAGAGATGGTGTACTTCTGCTCATTTCTGCCTTGTGCAGGAGAATAGAAGGTGAAACTCTGCAGCAGCTAACCTCCAGATCGTCTTTAGAAATTTCATTTAGATACAAAGCTCTTTTGGGTAAGGAAGGTTGTGTCGGAGACTCTGCATTATAATTGAAACAATCTTTAATTGGTCTTTTTGGTATTGTGTTTTCACATTGGTTACTATTTGCATTAGAAGAATGCACTTGGACATGTCTTTTGGGTTCGGAGACATCAGTATTAGTGTCAGAAAATACCTTCTGTATGGAGTTTCTAATTTCTTTTTGGGTTCTTGCACACTCCATTGGAGGACTTTGTGGTAGGGCCGGTTGATTTGTTGATGTGGGTGACAACTTGGATTTTGCTGTGCCTTTGTTGTCCTGTACCAAGGTTTGATGAACTGTGCGTGTCATATGACTTTCATCATTTGCCTTAATTTCTTCCTGCCTGGAAGTGGAATGATCATTTGCTACAGAAAGTAGCCCCACGCTATCAACCAACTCTGGAAAGCCTTTTTCCAGGTCAGCACTGTTCCACTGCTCAATCGGTTTTGGTTTAGCCTTGGCAGCTGAACTGGAGGTCATGGTGGCCTCCGGGCCACCGGACGCGTCTTCACTAGGACTGTAGCCAGACAGTTCAAAGGCAGTGATACCACAATCCAAAGAGAAGTAGTCTTGAGAACATTTAATGGTCAGCTGACCTGCATCATCAACTTCAGTCAGAGTGTCCAAACAGGTCTGCAGAAAAAAAATATAAAAAAGCCTTTATAAACTAAATGCACATTCTAAATTCTGTTCTGAATGTTATTGTGTCTCATTATTTAATATATGTATTACACATTAAAAATTTTGCTGAAACCACACAATGGTAAATAAATGAAATACATAAACATGAAATAACTGGTACAATGCTTCAAAAAAATTGTGGATTTCCAGTGGAAATAATTTTGAATTTTACCAAGCATAACTTTTGCAAATAAAGGATAATGTTTAAACAAACAAACTCGGACCACAAATTTATTATGCTTTGAAACCATATCCTAAAATTTAGGATAAAATGAAGAGTGTTGTGCGACCCTGTTGTAAATGTGAATTCATTTCTGAAGAAGGGTCTAGGCCCGAAACGTCAGCTTTCCTGCTCCTCTGATGCTGCTTGGCCTGCTGTGTTCATCCAGCTCTACACTTTGTTATCTCAGATTCTCCAGCATCTGCAGTTCCTACTATCTCTGAAACAATTTCAATATGTTTCATTTTGCCTTAGGGAGGATAGCAGCAAAACCCATTTTGAGATCTGGTTACAGGCTTCCTTTCAATGGAATGTGTATTAAAGACAGACCGCAGTTTTGTGTCATTAGCACAGAGAAGAGGCTACTTTGGTGACAAGAATTCACAACATGATGGGAGAAGAAGATAGTCCCTCATCAAAGAGATGCAACCTGCAGCGAACTAGAGAATCTGGGAGATTCAAAAGAATCATCAAAATAAGCTATACCTATTGGTAGTGGATTAAAGAGCACAGGGAAAACCTGAGAAGCGTCACTCAAAGTCAATACTTGGCCAAACTGGTATACAGGAATACATTAGGAGCTATGAGTCATTGTGGACAGTTTAGTATTAGAACTTGAAATAACTGCACAGAGGCTGGTATCCCATCACCAAGTCATCCTTTATTTACACATGCACTGGCTCTGACCAGCCAGCATAGGACCAGTCCTTAGAATGAGGAAACTCTCTGAATCTCCTGTTTATATATGTCAGTCAGGGCTCCCTTATTGGCCCATTTTAACAACCCAAATCAAGGATCTCATAGTCAAAAAGATCCACCTAGCCTGATTTCCAAACAATACAGAACTGTAAGTCCTGCAAACTGTGTGTGAGATGACTATTAAAGAGGAACATTCCAATCTAAAACATAAAGTATAAGTTGCCCATAATAAAATGCTGTTTAGTCAATAGTCCTTCAAATCATTTGTTTTAGTAACAGTTTCAAAACATAAAGTCTTGCTATGTCATTTTTTTCAGCTTTGCATTGAAATTTAGAATTCCTTTTCAAAGCTGGCAGTCATTATAGAGATTGTAATAATTACAAAGGCAGAATTTGATGAATAATATATTTTTCCATGTGTAAGACTTACTCTAATTACTTCAGTTTCTTTATTATGATTAACTGATGATTTTTAAGCAAGTTTAGGTCATAACACCATACATAATTTAATAATAAATGTATCTGGAATATAAAGCAGAGTAATCTTGTTGTAAAAACCAATTCTGGTTTTGTAGCGCAAGAAATCTGCCTCCTTATCTGGTGCGATGTACATGTGATTCCAGGCCCATTGTAATGTGGTTGAACCTTAACTGCCACCTGAAATGGCCTATGAAGCTATACAGTTTAAGGGCAATTAGGGATGGACAACAAATGGTAGAAGCACCCTTATCCCATGAAAGAATGAAGAAAAAGAAATGACTTACAAGTTGACCAACATTCTGGAAGATTCTAATAGTGGATTACGTAACTACCTGGCCAGACAGGTCACCCGCATAGAATTTCCCACTTGTTACTGTGTGGACACCCCCACCTCCAATTCCATGCCTGGCTCAGTAACGAAAAAGACATTTTGGAACTCGCTGTGCCTGCAGAAGTGCTGAAAGTGACTGTCCATCTCCTAAAACATGCTCAATGGATCTGACCACAGCGCCTGAGCCTCCTTCATTAACATGTATAGCTCACTAATGGCCACATACAATCTGTTGCTGATCAGTGACAAGTGATTTAAACTCCTTTAGAATTTTGGAGCATTTTAAGCATACATTCTGAAATTTTAAATCAATCTGATAGCATCAGCCAAGGAAACAACAAACTCCAGATCATCAGCTACCTCTGCCTGAAACTTAAAGCCTTGAAATCTATTTCTGAATCATGCTGACTTCACTTAAATCACAAACTGAACGTCTGTCTGCAAACAGTGCCAGAAACTGCTGTCTCACTTTGCTGCCTTATCTTCAACTTTGAAGGAATTCTACTACTCCTCACTCCTGCATTAGGACTCTGAGGTGGCCACAAATTGATCATTATGCTAGTGCCCCTTCTGAGGAAAGGTCACTGGACCCGAAACATTAACTCTGTTTTTTTCCTTCACAAATGCTGCCAGACCTCGTGAGCTTTTCCAGCAACTTTGTTTTTGTTCCTGATTTGCAGCATCCGCAGTTCTTTCAGTTTTTATTTTGATCAATATGTTATTTGATTCTAATATTCACAGACGGGCAACTCTGTTCCTTTACTGTATCTTTCTTGTGTGCATCTGTAAAGTCACATAAGATCACGCTAGGGTTGAATGTGAGAACAAGTAATAATTTTGGTAAATCCAAATGAAAGCCAACTGCAAATCACTTAAAAATTGACTTGATATAGCACAAGGGTCTGGGAAACGCGCCTCAGTCTTTTCAAAATTAAAACCATTCTGTTTACAGGCAGGAGACAAAGAGAAACAAAATAGTTCAGTCTGTCTTTCTCCTGTCCCTGACATTTTTGTTTACAATGAGAAAATGGCAAATGAAATTTAAAGTAGATAAGTGCAAAGCTGTACATGTAGGAAGACAAAACTAATTGAAATGTTAAATACATGAATAGTGGTTTATTAGCTAAGGGTAAACTGAAAACGACCCAACAATCTCAGCAGGGTTGACGTCAAACCACGTCAAAGTCACAATAAACAAAGCTAATAAGAATATTGAACTTCATAGACAGATGTAGAACATAGGTCAAAGGAAAGCATTATGTTCTGTTCAAGTCTCATTCTGTAATTACATTCAGTTATGATCTTTGGCACAAAGAAGATTTTCAAGCACTGGAGGCGGTGCAAAGAACTGCCCTGAGGTTAATCCCTGCAAGCTAAGCTACAGAAAAATACTTGGAAACTTGGAATTTTCAGTTTTGATAGTGGATGTCTAAGAAATGATCTCATGAAGTGTATAATCCAGTTATCATTAGAGAAAACGGTAATACGGAAGATTTGTTTCAATTGAATTCCGGGGCTAAGATAAGAAACAATGGTTCAGGTGAACGTAAAACATACTTAGGACTGAAAATTTTCTTCATGGAATGAGTGATTAGTGCATAGAATGCATTCTAGAGTACAACAGTGGAATCATTTAAGAATGAATTGAATGCTACATAAACTTCCTCATTTCTACAGATCTTGTAATCATAAGGTTCATGCTCCATGTTGAGTCAATTGACCCACGATGACAGTTGGGACGTGACAACTGGTATTACACTTAAAAGGGGAGGGAGAAATCTCTTCACTAACCAGTGGCTACTAGTGCAGATTTTGTACATGTATGCTAGATATTTTCCAAACAAACTCTTCAGAGAGATGTTATTACTTGCAAACTTGGAATTTTCAGTTTTGATAGTGGATGTCTAAGAAATGATCTTATGAAGTGTATAATCCAGTTATCATTAGAGAAAACGGTAACACGGAAAACTAAAATAACTGTTGCCTGCAGCTAACTCTGGAGGGTAAGAGGGAAATTCAATCACCAAATGTTTTGAGAAGGTAACCAGGAGTGCTGATAATGAAAATGCATTTGATGTGGTCTACATGGATTTTAGCAAGGTTTTTGACAAGGTCAAGAAGGCAAACAGCCCATGGGTTCCAAGGCAAAGTGATATGTTACTATGCTTGGAAGTCTGTTTCCAGTGGGTTTCAGAAGGCTGTATAATGAGGCAGACTTGATCAGGGAGCTTAATGTGAAGGAACCCTTCAGGGTCAGTGACCAGAATATGATAGAATTCGCCATGCAGTTGAGAGGGAAAAGTTGGAATCAGATGTAACAGTCTTCCAATTGAGTAAAGGTAACTAGAAAGATATGAGGGAGGAGCCAGCCAGAGTTGTTTGAAAGGGGACTGTAGCAGGGAAGACAGTGGAGCAGCAATGACAGGAGTTTCTGGTGGTTATTCGGGAGGCACAGCAGAAATTCGTCAAGGCAACCATTGCTGCCAAGGGAAGTCAAAGATAGAATAAAAGAAAAAGAAAAATCTTACAATGTGGTGAAGATTAGTAAGAAACCAGAGGATTAGGAAGTCTTTAAAAACTAGCAGAGAATAACTAAAAAGGGGGGGAGATGGTGAAATATGAGAGTAAGCCAGCTAGTAATATAGAGGAAGATTGCAAGAGTTTTTTTAGGTATATTAAAGGTAAGTGAGAGGCAAGAGTGGACATTGGACAGCTGGAAAATGAGGCTGAAGAAGTAGTAATGGGAACAAAGAAATGGCGGAGGAACTGAATAAGTACTTTGCATAAGTATTGATTGTGCAGCATACCAGAACTTCAAGAGAGTCGGAGGCAGAGATCAGTTGAGTGGCCATAACTGAGGAGAGGGTGAAAGGTCTGAAAGTGGATAAATCACCCAGACCAGATTGACTACTCCCCAGACGTCTGAAGGAGATAGCTGAAAGATTATAGAGGCATTGACAGTGATCTTTCATGAATTGCTGGAGTTAGGGAGGGTCCCAGATGACTGGAAACTGGCTAACGCAACACCCTGCTTAAGAAGGGATGAAGGCAGAAGACAAGAAGTTATAGGGTGGTTAGCCTGACCTCACTTGTTGGCAAGATTCTAGAGTCCATTATTAAAGATGATGTTGCAGAGTATTTGGAAGTCCATGGTAAAATAGGGGTGAGTCAGCACGGCTTCGTCAAGGGGAGGTTATGCCTGACAGATCTGTCAGAATTCTT